GATTTCGACGAGGGAAAAATAATATTAATTTGAAAACTTTTCCTAAACTTTCGGAAGTACCTCGGGCCAAAAACAGAAAATCTTCTGGGTTATCGAGTGTGCTGAGTATGAAAAACCACTTTTCAGCAACTCTAAACCAACTTTATTTTTTTTCCGGTGATATGCAAATTCAAGAGCAACGTAAGTTCATCAATGAGAACGGGTGTATATATATATACCCAATAGAGAATGAGAATATTCTCGAAAAACAAAAGATCGGAGGAGAAGAGTGAAATTATGACGTCAGTGTACCTTAGCAGCAAGAACAATGGATATTCAAAAAGAATTTATATGAGAGAAGGAAAGAAAGAAAAGAAAAGTATGAGATGATAAATGTAGTTGTTTATGACCTTAATGACCTTACATATTTAATCGTTTAATGTGAACTAAACACTTTTTCTCTACTGATAAATAGGTGGTCAAAAATGACCCATCCGTCCTCAAAGGGTTAAAGAAAGTTGACGTTTCCACACTGTAAAATGCTAAAGCGTATTCTTCAGAAAACATAAAACGTGTTTTTTCATTTGTCCCAAATAAAAAACACAAACAAAATGAGTTCTTCAACTTCTTAATTTTCTATCAGAGATCTTTGTTTTTCGGAGAACTCGAAGAGAAGAACACATTCTCTGTTGTTAATTTCTTTGAAGAACTCATTTTTCAGTTCTTCAAATTTTTATTTAATGCCGTTTTGAGTTCTTTAGAAATTTTGCTGCTTGTTACACGTTGCATATTGTCATAATGGAAACTGAAATATGAAAAGCAAATTAGTGAATCTCGTCTCACTCTGACGCTAAATATTACAATTACAACATTTAAAAAAATTAATCTAATTTTAATTTTTCCCCTCACAGCTAAAATTATGCGAAAAGAATAATAGATAGGGGACAATCTGTAGCTTTGACGATTTTTACTGAGAAAACCCGCTCTGCTCTCTCAGTATTATCTATTAGTTTGTGATTCCAATCGGAATTTGTGTTTGTCTACAATTCATTAACAAAATCTTCGCTGAAAAATAAAAAATATGTTTTCTTGGTTATCAAAAACTGGTGTGAGTTCTTCAATCAGTTTTCTAAAGACATAAAAAACGCGTTTTTTTTCACCATGTATTTGAATCTTTCTTTTTTTAATTGCAGATTATAGACTAAGAACCAGTAGAAATAAGTGTGATATTGGTGCTGTACACATAATACAAAAGATATGAGTTATTTCTCTTTAATAATATTTTCCCTCGTCGAAATCAGTTTTAAATTGATGCAATTCATTTTTTCTTACAATTGCAGCTTCATTTCATTTATTTTAATATATTATGCACATGATAACTGTTATCAGCAAAAGATTGCTGACAATGGATATTGTCAACCGATAGAAAAAAAAGAAAAAACATAGTTATAATATTAATAAATGAAAACAATGAGAAATGCTCATGTAATTTAACACAAATATAGAGATACTAATAAAGTTTTACATGTTTTTCCCGTAATTTTTAAAAAATAATAGTATAATAATACCATTGTTGCATATACTGCAACAATTATGGATAGCGAAAAAAAAAACAAACAATTTCAACAATATGTAATCCTACGGGAAAATATTGCTTCAGAAAAATAAGAATTACAATCTATCCATAACTGATCACTCGAGAATGTTACGAGTAAATAGTGACAATTCGTTTGTCGAATTCATTAGGGCAACACTGTACGATAGTTTTGTTTCGATTTCGCTTTTTTTTAAATAGTAAAAAACACAGAAAGATTATTCAACCTTATAAATCTATTTAGTGGAATAATGTGACATTGAAGAAAACAAGAGAGTAAAGTGAATAAGCAGCGAACGAATTTTTTCAGTTCGAATGATAAATTGAAATACACTAAGGACTGTAAACATTCTATTTCTACAAAAAACGCAAAAATTCAATTATGCATTATTAATGCTATTAAATGGGTGTGTATTTGACAAAAACGATCTTTTTAGTCATTTATGACAGAGTTGCAATACTTTAGGGGAAGAAGTATGGTTGTCGTCAATATCAGACCTATAATCGATGTTTTGTCATAATTAATAGAATAAACCCAAGCAAAAACGACCCAATTTTTTTGGGTTATTTATCTAGATTCAGCTCCACGTACATCTAGATGCACGTGGACCTGAATCTAGATAAATAACCCAAAAAACTGGGTCGTTTTTGCTTGGGAAATCATTAACTGATTTACACTTTCTCATACATCTGACTACGTGCTTATCATAATGTTTGAATGAATATTGGCTAGATTTCATAAAACAAAATCTTACTATCATCAGTTATCTCACACTAAAAATTTTCAATTTTAAAAGTCCGGTCATATCATACTGCAAAGAAAATTAAATTACTATTCATTTTACAAGTACGAGTGTATAAAGCTTATAACAACACAAAATCTGTGTTCATGGCTATTGAAGATCGGAAATCTAAGGCTATATTTTGATTAAAAAACGCATTTGTGAAATATTTCTTAAGTATGAAAAACCAGTTCGGATCTTCAACAAATGGAAAGGCAACATGAGCAGATAGTCCCAAATGTTTTCTTCAAAATGCGAACGAAGCGAAACCTAAATTTTCAGAAATTTCGGTAGGATAGAAAATTTTGAAAAAGCCTTGATCTCTTAATACACATCACAAATTGTCTTACAAATGCATGCCACATATCTAATCGACCACTCCGTATCTTATGGCAATGTTTTTCTCCAAAGAAAAAATCTTAAAATCTAGTAGAAACCGTTTTACTAAAATAAATAGTTTTCGATTATTTTCACATCTAACAATAAAAAATTTTTCGCTCGCTCAAAACAAATTCAAACAGAATAAAAATTTTAGATATATCATTCGAATAAAAAAAATAAAGTTAGTTTTGAATGCTTTTTCGTATCCAATACACTTTATAACCCCGAAGATTTTATATTTTTGGCGAGGGGGGTACTTCCAAAAGTTTAGGAAAAGTTTTGAAATAAAAGGGCGGAAAATAATATTAGTCGGAAAATTTTTCCTGAACTTTTGAAAGTATCCCTTGCCAAAAATAGAAAATTTTCGGAGTTATATAGTGTGCTGAATACGAAAAAGTACCTTTCAGCAACTCAAAGTCCAACTTTATTTTTTTTCCGGTAATATGATATAATCAATTTAAGATATTTTATAACCTTTAGAACATTTATCTAAAAATAAACAAAGTTTTGATCAAAACTGTTGATTTCTGAATAGGATTTTCCGAAAACCTTAAAAATGAAGAAGATTTCCTTCTGTTTTTTAGTAGTAAACCTATTCTGTGCATGCAAAATTGATGAGATGAAAAAATTTGAGATTTTAATCTAATAAATGAAATAGATTATTGATTTTACACTGATTGACGTACAAGTTTTCTAGTCTCTTTCTTTAACCATTTACAACTGTTCTTTCCTATCATTTTCTATTATAGTTTAGCAAAATACGCTCAAAACTAATTTAATATGTGCATAAAGAAAAATTTGTTTTAATTTCGCCAAGGTATTCATAATTGATAACATGGACTCTATTGCGTATTTTTAAGCATAAAATTTATCGATTTTCTGTTAAAAATATTTTTTCTTTCAACAGCAAGTGTTTATCACTAATAATTACATTTATTCGTCGATTCAAAGTCAGAATGTAATTACACTGTGAAAAAAAATATAAAGTACTAACATTTTGTCACCACTTAAATGTTCGAAAAACTCATTCTTTTCTTCAAACTTTTGTCTCTTAATCTTCTCAAATGTGTCAAGATTTCTTTTCATTATGAATATTAATATTAAGTCATGCAAGAAACAAATGATATCTAGACACCACAGCTCTGGATTGCCTTGAAATTTTGAGTCCAATCGATTGAGAAAATAGTCGAATGGACCATGCAAATTTTTTATTTGCCAGTCTCGTGTTTTGTGGTGTAATAACGATGATTTTCATTGATAAGTTTCAAGTAAAACTATCTATGTCCATCTTCTAAAATGCAAAGTACACACAAAAAGTGTTCATGAGCAAACATATGTGTACTGCTCTATATAAAACGGATCAATACAAAGTAAAAAATAAAGTTATTTTCTTTCTAATAAACTGTACATTTTTCTAACTGAATAAATCAATAAAATATTGTTGATTTGTTCTGGATTTACGCTTGATCGCCGACTAGTTATGATAGGCTCTGAGAGAGATATTCAGAACAATTCATCAGTCGAAAAACTGAAAACAAAATGAAATATTTTAATTAATTTTTTTTATATTTCTTTTTTCTTCTCTGTCACTGTCATCGTATGTTTCGTCTATTTTAACTATCGTTAGATGAACCATTTTATACATTTATTTATATGTACATTGTCGCACATTATCATTATTTATAGTATTCAAATCTATGATTTTAAAAATTTTCGAGTCTAGTTTAGTTAACTGGACTAGACTAGATTCTGGACTCAGTCAAATCCGTACTACGCTGTGGTAGATACATGAAAATAGAAGTTACAAAAACGTCATTATATCAGTGTAATACAATTATGACCTTGTGTATGAAATATGGAAGAACTCTTGATATTGTCTTTGTAAAAGTATATGTCTAACCGGTATCGTTTTATTTTCAAAAATACACACTGCTTTTCTACAATAAGATCTCATAAAAATAAATTCAATTCTTGGTCAAACCATAAAAAAACATTATTTTAATATTTTAAAGTTGTTTCGACATTGCATGCCACATTGAAAATGATTGTCTTGCTATTAGTTGATTCCAGTGAGTAGCGCCTGTACCACTACAATACAATGGTGAACCTAATTTAATTCGGGAAAATATTTGCTCATTTTGATAAAGATTAATCACCAGCATTAATCGATCAATATTTAAACCGTACAAGGAAAAATCATACAGTTCATTTATATTTACCATTGATTGATTAATATTATAGGGTTTTGTGCGACGAGTAGATATTAATTTGTAACGATCAAGTAAAAGTACTTGTACATAAAGTGTTTTATCTATATACATAAAAAGATATAAATATTAGTTTACAAATTGAACAATTACACACAAAAATATTTTCTATTACTTACTAGGATGTTTTTGATCAACTTTGATACCTTTTACACGTTCAATTTCAACGGAAAGATAACGATCTTTCTTTTGAAGTGATACAAATATTTCTGTTGACGACTAAATAGAATAAAATATCATATTAATTATATTATGTTTATTTTAAAGAATAAAATTTATTACATACCATTTTTTTCTTTTCAATTTCATGTTGAAGATAATAGTCTTTATCCTGCACTAAATGTAATTCATTTAACATAACTTCCATTTGACCATAATTTTTCTTTTTTCGTTTTCCACCGGTTACTGTTATTAACAATAATTTTTCACCTAATTTATCTTTCAATACATTTGAAAATATAATACATTCATCAATTAATTTTGTTTCAACATCTATATTCTTTTTAGTACAATATTTTTCTTTACCATCGGGTAATAATTTTGTTTTTATTGTCAATTGTTCATTAACTTCATCACTGATTAAACCGCTAAACTTATCAAATGTAATTTGTAAATTTTGTTGACTAGTATAAACAATTCTTAATGATAAACGATTCATTGTTTGATAAGCATCGTTGACTTGTAAAATTTTAATTTGTTCCGGTTCAATACAGAAACGATTACATACACTATCTACTGTGGCAACACTTCGACGACGTTTTGGTACCGAAAATTCTAATGATTCAGCATTAATCGATATTGAACCATGTCGCCAATTTCGTGGTGTATGTGGACCATTGATTGTTCTATTACGATATCTATCTTGTACACTTGAAGAACGTGATGGATCAAATCCTCCTCCAACTGCTGTTCGCCATAATGATTTACGTGGACATGATGATGGTACTGTTGATTCTAATTGAATTTCTGTTTGTTTAGGCAATATCGGTTTTATTGTTGATCTACGATGATTTGATAATCTTTCTGTTGTTGTTATTATTGTTGTTGTTTCATTTTCTTTATTATTACTAATATCAAGATCATCACTCAAACGTTTAGCAACAACGTCAATTGTCGGTTTTAAAGAATAATGTAATTTTTGTGTTTCAGACGAGAATTGAAAATTTGAAAATGATGAACGTTTACGCCAATAAACATAGAATACAATAGTCGATACTACACAAACCAATGCAGCAAGAAAATAAACAAATACTGGTATCATTTTTCTTTGAAATTATCTCTGATTAAAGATAATTATTTTAAGAATAAGGTTCATCTAAACAAAAGAGACACTTATTAACTAGAGAAAATAATGAATTTTTCAATAGACTATTAATTCAATACTTATGTACGAAAAAATATAAAAAATTATTGTATAATATATGAAATTATTCACTATCTATTTATATTAAACAAAAAATAACTAAATTCACTACATTTTATTTCGTTTTTTAGATGCAACTAAAAACCAATTTTCTTTTCCATGTTTTCTTTTTTCAAACTCTTGATGATTAATTTGATACTATTTTTAATTGTAAAAAGGGAGGTGGTATTGTGTGCATTTAATCAACAAAAATCAATTTCCTTCACATATTTTACTGTTCAGTAGAGATAAGATAACTTGGAGACAAAAGTGAATTTTCAGCATCATAAAATAAGATAAAATCGGTTAATTATTATTCAAGAACATCTATATATCCTCGAGGATACTCGCTCGATTTCGTTGATATTTTATGTCAAGAATCTATAATATAAACTGTAAAAAGTAGTCATATTTTATAATAGTTTTTGTTCAAATGTTGTTTCTTCTTACTTTTGTATATGAAAACTAAAAAATTACTAAAACAAAAAAAACATGACATACTCACTCATATGTTCGAACTCCATTTATTTTTTCAATATTTAGACTTTAGAAGCTTTTTAAACTCCCTCATGAAATGAAATGAATAAAACAATTTTTTTTATTCGCTATTTTGTCCGTAAATATAGTCTTTATTTTGATGTGAGTAGGAGTTTAGACAAAATAAAAAGAAGACAAAAAAAAAAAAAAAAAAATAGAAAATTTATTGTTCATTTCAGATTTATATATAAGCGACAATAATTAATGTGTGAAAAAAAATTTTTTTTTTATATATTTTCTTCTAAAAATGACATGTATATGCATTTCGTTTCTATAATTAAATTTTTTAGTAACACACGTTAATACTTCCGTCTTCATATTCAAACACTTTTTAAAAAAGATAAATAAAAACAAAAACAAAAAACAAAAAAAACGAACGCAATTCTACTATTTTTTCCGTTTAATCATGCATGTATATATAAAGGAAATGATGTATGTTAAAGGAGATTATCATTAAGTAAGGTCTTCCTTTTTTGTGCGCGATTCATATGATGTAAATTATTTCAAGTAGAAAAAAATAATATACTTTAAAATATTTTATTTTATTTTTTCTTCTTCTTCTAAAAAAAGATATTTTTTCATAACATCTGATAAAATATATTTATTAATAATGTAGTGTGTATAATGAGCATAATGAGTGTATATTTTGAAATTTTGATAAAGTTTAAGAAGTAGACGAATAATAGAATAAAAGTTAGAGAATTTTGATTTTTTATTGTTTTTTGTTTTTTCAAGTTATTCAGACAAAACTTAAAAAAAAATAAAATTTTCATGTAATACGTTTCAAATATGAATAAAATATTATTTTTAGATACTATGAGACATAGATCAATTGAAATAGATTTAAATGAATCGTAAGTGACATCGTTTTTTGGAAAATGTCTTCTTTTTTTTGTTATTTTATCATTTTACTCTACATAATAAAAAAATAGCTGAAAAATAGTCTATCACCAAAGTAAACGATCATTTTTATGAAATATTTATTAAATCAAACAAAATATTATATTAACACTTCTCAAACATTTTTATTTTATTATTTTATTCTGTTTTTGATCTAACCACTATCTTCATTTCTATCAAAAAAAAAAAAAAAATGTAAAGAAAAATAATAAAGGAAAAAAAAAAGTATAAATCTGTTAAAAAAAAAAAAAAAATTAAAATTAAAAATTTAAAGTGTAAAAAGAAAAAAAAAATGTACAAATAATTGCTTGAACTTAATTGTTAACTTTTTGATATTTATCTGCACGTCAACTAGGTCTCTAATAATTTCTAGAATAAAAGAGTCAAGAATAATGAGTTCATTATTTATGGGGTTCGCTTAGAAGGTGCGTGTTATCAAAGTCAATTTTTCACGACACAAATAATTATTAAAATAATTTGAAAAAATGTCTATTTTTAGTTGTAGTTTTTATTTTGCATGCATATTCAAAACTCTATTTTATTTTCTAATTCAGTTTTATTAATGATCGATATTGATCTAGAAATGAACATGTCATATTTCTAATCCGCCTTCACATCTCACATATATATATATATATATATATCAAGAAAATATGATTATATTTGTTAATACGTTTTCTTCAAATATGTTAAACTTCTAATTTTTCACTCACTTCCTACACTCAATATAATTACGTACTCTCAATGGACTTGTCTTGCAAACATTTGATGTGTGTTTGAAAATAGGTTAAATACACACGACTAAGTTATTTATTATGATTGTTTAACTATATGAACAAAATAAGATGAAGAAAATGAAGACATAGAAGCAAAAAGAATAACAATGAGTAGAAAACCCATTGACTAGTTTTCTCTTTATATCTTGGGTTTTTTTTTTCGTCTTCTGTTATATATCTCGTCATTTAAATTGTCAAAAGCAACTGTATTATTGAATCTCTTCCAAACGTGTTAAAATAGGATGTGTTTTTCTTCTCTTTTTTTTTTTTTTGTTTTTTTCTTCTTCTTCTTACAGTGATTGAAATTAAGGGTGCTTTTAAAGTTTCATTGTCCAGATGTTTTTTGTCTTTTAGAAAAAGTGTGAAATAGGAATTTGCGTGACTTCTAAATGATTTTGCTTGATTAAAACTGTTTTTTCAACCGTTCTCTCTCTCTCTTCCGTCTTTCTTTTTTTTTTTTGTCTTTCTCGTTTGTTGCCTTCTGTTAATAACTGAATAGGTTAGTTCATCTGGTCTTTATATAGATCTTATTAGAAGCTCTTTACTTGATAAACAATGATTTGTTTTAAACTAAATAAAAAACCGCGCAAAACTTCTGACGTAGTAGACTGACAGAAAATTTTAAATCATTTATATTTACATATTCTATTTTATCTTCTCTATGTGAATAATTTTGTTCTAATTCTATTTAAAAAAAATTTAATATAAAAGTTCTATTCAACAAATTATAAAGTTCACTGCCTGCAAGTACTTTTTAAACAAAAAGTGAAGAATACGACTTTCAACTAGATTTGTTCTATTCTGACATTTTTTTTATGCTATTTTACTTTGTATGTTTTGAAAATTTTCTAGTGATAATAATTATTTTCAATGCTTCTTTTTTTTTATTATTTTTTTTGGCCACCAATTGATACTGACTAAAAAACATTCGTTTTCAAAATAGACGTCATAAACAATGAGTAAAATAACATACAGAAGATACCATATCATTATTGAACAATAGATTATTATTTTTTTTTTTTTTATACAAAAATGAACTGGTTTTTTTTCTTCGTCTATTGCATCAAATGAGCTAAACATTTAGAAGGAAATGAGAGAAAGTTTGAATTTATTGAACAATAGACAGAGAGAGAAAGAGAGAGAGGGTGATGAGTTTGAGTAAAGAGTTATCAAGTGATGAAGATATAAGTCATTAAATATTAAACAAAATGATTCAGTGTCGAACTGAATAGTACTTGTAGTAACTCATTTAGATGAAGTGTAGAATAAAGATAATTAAAAGAAAGAATATTAATTAAAAAGGTAACAGTAAAATAGATCTTAAATAATTAATATGTATTTACTTGAAAGAAATAATTGGAAGAAATAAAACAAAATAGAATTACAAAAAAAAGTTTAAACTTTTTGATTGATGTTAAGAATCTGTTAAATATCTTTTTTTTAATAATAAAATATTTTTATAAAAGAAAAAAGAATTAACTATTTTTTTTGTTTTTTTGTATGAAAAAAAGTTTAAACTTTTTGATTGATGTTAAGAATCTGTTAAATATCTTTTTTTTAATAATAAAATATTTTTATAAAAGAAAA